ATATATATATGACAAAGAGAAATTGTTTTAGAGATGAGAAACATTTTATGATAATAAATGTTTCAACTTAGTAGAAAGATACAACAACTTAGTTTGTGTGCACTTAATGGCAGAGTCTGAAAATTACGTAAAGCAAAAACTGACATACCTGAAAAGAGAAAGAGACAAAGAGATAATTATGGTGTGATATTTTTAAATGCACCAAAATTTTCAGATATTGCCTGTGGGCAATTAGATAAACTTTCTGTAAAACAGTTCAGCAATATCAATCAAAAGCTTTAAAGTTGTTCATACTCAATAACTTAGTAAGTTCAGGATGTTCAGAGGACATTTTTAAAATTAAAACTTAGAAACAGGGTGGCACCTGTGGCTAAGTGAGTAGGGTACTGGCCCCATATACTGAGGGTGGCGGGTTAGAACCTGACCCCAGCCAGCTAAAACAGCAATGAGAATTGCAACAACAGCAACAAAAAAATAGCCAGGCATTGTGGCAAGCGCCAATAGTCTCAATTACTCAGGAGGCTGAGGCAAGAGAATTGCTTAAGCCCAAGAGTTGGAGGTTGCTGTGAGCTGTGATGCCACAGCACTCTACCAAAGGTGACAAAATGACACTGTCTCAAAAAAACAAAAACAAACTTAGAAACAATCCAAAAGTACAAATAACTATAGCATGTATGTCACAGATGATGAAATGTTATGGAACTATTTTAAAAAGCATGGTTTTGACTGGGTGTAAAGGCTCATTCCTATTTTTCTAGCACTTTGGGAGGCTGAGGCAGGAGGACTGCTTGATGCCAGGAGTTCAAGACTAGCCTGGGCAAAAGCAAGACGCCATCTCTAAAAAACATAGAAAAATTAGCTAGGGGTAGTGGCTTGTAGCTACTTGGGAGGTCGAGGCAGGATGATTGCTTGACCCCAGGAGTTTGAGGTTGCAGTAAAGCTATGATGATGCCACTATACCCTAGCCTGGGCAACAGAGTGAGACCCTGTCTCAAAAAAAATAAAAGAAAGAAAATGAACTGAGGAAAGGAGGGAGGGAGGGAAGGAAATAAGGGAAGGAGGGAGGGAAGGAGGGAGGAAAAAAGAAAAGAAAAGAAAAGAAAAAAAGAGGGAGCGAAGGAAAGAGGGAGAGAAGGAGGAAGGGAGGGAGGGAGGGAAGGAAGGTCGGTTGATTCAAGCAAGAGTGAGACCCCCATCTCTAACAATAGCCAAGCATTGTGGCGGGCACCTGTAGTCCCAGCTACTCGGAAGGCTGAGGCAAGAGGATCTCTTTTTTTTGAGACAGAGTCTCAAGCTGTCACCCTTGGTAGAGTGCTGTGGCATCACAGCTCACAGCAACCTCAAACTCTTGGGCCTAAATGATCCTCTTGCCTCAGCCTCCTCAGTAGCTGGAAGTACAGGCATCCGCCACAACGCCCAGCTATTTTTTGGTTATAGTTGTCATTGTTTGGCAGGCCTGGGCTGGATTTAAACTCACCAGCTCCGGTGTATACGGCTGGCACCCTACCCACTTGAGCCACAGGCACCAAGCCAAGAGGATCCCTTTGAGCTCAAGAATTTGAGGTTGCTGTGAGCAATAATGCCATAGCACTCAACCCCAGGGCAACTGACACTTTATCTCAAAAAAAAGGAAAAAAACCCAGAAATACATATTCAGCATGAGTCCTATTCTGTAAAACAAAAACCCAAAAAGATAAATATGCATATAAAAATAATTATCCTAAGGGAGATATAATACCAAAAGGTTAAAAGGTAGCTTATCTTTCAATATGACATATGTTTTCCTTTTTTTGCTTACATGTATTTTCTTTCCTTGATAGAATAAAAGAACAAACACACGTAACTTTTATATATATATATATATATATATTTTTTTTTTTTTGAGGTTTT